GGGGTGGGGTGGGGCAGAGAATGTGGCCATGAGGTCACTTAGGACATGGTACGTGTGTGGGGTCCCCAAGTGGAAGGTCAGGGAGCGAGCCCTCATCTGACCAGGGGTCCCTGCCACCATCCCGCTAACCCCGTCTCTGTCCACAGAGATGAGGTTCCTGCGTTCAGCCCTGGCCATGCCGGGGCTCGGGAGGATCGGGGCTGCCTTCACCTGCATCCCCGTCTACACTGGTGAGCTCTTCCCCACTGTAGTCAGGTAAGGCTGTGACTAGGCCCAAGTTGGGGCATGCCCTGGGTGGAGGGTGGGGGGCATCCTTCCCCAGATCTGGATGTTTGTGCCCTGTGTCTCTCTTCCACGTGGTCTCAGGGCTGCTCAGGCGTGTCCCAGCCCAGGCTGACCCACTGTGCTGCCCTGGGCAGAGCAGGGCTGTGCCGGAATGGGAGGTCAAGGCCGCATGATGGCAGAGTGGCCCCTCACAGGTGGGCCCCGTGCTGGCAGGATGACCACCATGGGCGTGGGCCAGACGTCAGCCCAAGGGGGAGCCATCCTGGGGCCTCTGCTCCAGCTGCTAGGAGTGCACAGCCCCTCCTCTCCCCTGCTGATGTGTGGGGCAGAGCCAGTGCTGAGTGGCCTGGCCACACCGCTGCTGCCAGAGACCCAGAGTCTGCCGCTGCCTGGCACGACCCAGGACGTGCAGAGCCAGTGAGTGGACCCAGTCCCGGGACCAACCTCTCCTCCCTCCAGAGAACTGCAGAACAGGATGGATCTGGCCGCCAACCCCCATCACTGGACATAGGGAGAAGCGGAGGCCCAGAGAGGCACAGGATTGGCTGAGAGTCACACAGCACATCTTCAGGAGAGTGGAGGCCACAGGCTGGGTCTCCCAGCTGACAGCGTGGATTTTGCCTCCTGTTCATTTCACCACTCAAGGCCCAAATGACCCAACTACCCCAAGCTCCAGCTTGTGAGAGGTCGGGGGACAGGGAGCACAGTCCCGCGTCAGGGGCCAGCCGAGGGTATGATGGCTGTCGAGGGTCCTCACTGGCCCCAGACTCTACTACTAGAGCCCCAGGTGTCAGTCAAGGCTGTTACTGCCCACCCACCCTCCACCGCGTGCTCGGGGAGCTCGGTTCTGGGCCCCCGAGAGCAGCAGTGTCTTCTGAGTCTTCAGAATGGACACAGGTCAGGGGTCGCTCTACACCTGCGGGACATAACCTCTCCGTGTAAAGAAGGGAACTCATGGCACCCACAGGTGCTCTGTCCTGAAATCCACGCAGTTTTAGGCCTCCTGGGAGCCCGCGACAGGACTGTGGGAGAAGCCTCTGGTCCGCCGCAGAAGGCAGGCAAGCGAAGGCCTTGATTTCCAAAGGGCCGGGGCCGCCCCTCCAGCCCAGCCTGCCTCTCAGTCTGAGGAGCCGCCTTGCACACAGAAGGGGCAGAGGACGGTGTGATCGGTAGGAGGCTGCCCAGGGTAATGTCACCGACCCTCCCTCACAGCTGCAAAGAGGATCAGGGACCAGGCCCGGGGGCGGGGCCAGCCTGTCCACCCTGTGCGCCCCTCCTCGCTGTTCACTGCCCTTGGGATAGGGCCGCCCTTCGCCATGGTCAAAACCTCCCCAGCTTCTCACTGCAGCCCGAGGCAAACACCCACTTGGCCTCCCAGACCCCGGAGGCCCAGGCCATTGTCCTCGCTCTGGGGACCCAGGGCCCAGCCTGAGGCTCTGCTGAAACCCTTACCCATGACCTTGGCCACACTCTGTCTCCCACGCCACCAGCCTGTGAGTTCCCAGAGGCCTGGGGTGTCCCTGGCTCCCACACAGAGCCGGGCGGAGGGGCGTCGGTAGGAGGGAGATGAGAGTCTAAGTAAAGGAACAGACGACAGCCCCCGACTACTCAGTGACGAGCCCAGGGTCCGCGCGGGTGGGGGCTCCTTGCTGGGGAGCCCTTTCCTGCCCCAAGTGCCCCCCGAGTGGCTGCCCCATCCGGCCCCTGTTGTGAGCCAGGCACCCTGCTGGGCACCTCAGGGCCTCATCTCATTTAATCTTTTCCTCCAAGGCAGAGGGTGCCCCATTTCGCAGATGAGAAAATGAAGGTGGGTGACTCGCAGCTGGAGGGGGCAGCGTCAGGAGTCAAGCCCTGGTCTGCAGGTCTCCAGAGCCTGACTCCGGCCATGACAGCCCCGCCTGTCTCCAGGCCTCACGATCTGGGCTTCCAGTGGTGCTTCTCCCGGGCAGGGGTCTGCAGGGTCCACCGGCACCGCTTAAGGGGAGACACAGAGCAGGGCTCCGGCAGAATGGGGCGGGCCCCGGAGCTCCCCACCCCAACTGACGGACGCGGGTGCAGGCAAGAGCCACCTGCTGCCCGGCGGGGTCCCCAACAGCTGTGCTCAGGTGGCCTCTTGGCCACCTGGGCCTGTGTCACTGCTTCCAGGCACCTCAGCAGAGGGCAGTGCCCCTCACACACACATGCTGGTGATACGTACACACGTGTGTGCACACACGAGGTCAACGAGAAAACAAAAAGTTACTCCTTGTCCCCGGGAGGCAGGATCACCCCCAGGCCTGGTCTTACCCGTGGCAGCCCCTGGGCCTTGGGGGTTGTGTCCTTCAGTCACCTGCCTATGGCCACCCCTCAGTGAAGACCCCCAGGACTGAGGTCGTCCAGCCCACCCTGGACTTTCTGTTTCGTCTGCGTGCTGCCCAGCTGAGCCTTAGCCTTCTTACCCTTGCTCAGCATTCTTGGGGCGCCAGGGTGTCCAGAAGCTTCCAGAACGCAGACCGCAGGGATGGATTCTCCTCTCCCCCAGGGTGTCCTCTAGCTCAGAGCTGTCCCTCTACCCACACTCAGAGGGGCCTTGCTCCCAGTTTCGCCAGGGGTGACAATCTTGCAGGCCCCAGGGCCTACCTGCTTCCCAATGTCACCCCTCACTTAACTCATCAGGGCCTGGAAGCCGGAAAGGCCCCGGGCCCTGCCGCTCTGGGGCTGCTAGGGAGTGAGTGTCATTGCCATGGCAGAGCGCTGCCCTGTGAGGGGAGGGGCCCGCCTTGGCGGCAGCCACAGGCCTCCATTCCGCTGGGTGCTGCCACTGAACGGCAGGCCTTCGCGTAGGACACACCCTCCTCTGATGCCCACCCTAGGGAGCTCCTGACTCCAGAAGCTGCTGGAGACCCTGCAACGAAGGAGCCAAGGGGACTGGGCACGGGAAAGAAGAACCCACTGACCACCCTCATGGTCTCACCCGCCATGGCCTCAGGCAGCGAAGACAGGAGGGTGGCTGGGACCTACTCTGCCCATTCTCCCGCCTCCAGCCAGGCCTGTAGCTCACCCAGGAAAGTGTGTGGGGCAGGGCAGTACCAGGCACCATGGGCTCCGTATTCACCTCTAGGACAAGGACGCCGTCCCAGAAGAGGCCCAGCGCTGGCTGAGCTGGTGTTATCACCCCTGGGGGCTTACATAGCCAGAGGAGGTCTTCAAAGTCAAAGTCATCAGCCAGATTTCACTGCCAGCTTCTTCCCCAAACCCTGTCCTTGGTCCCCCTGAGGTGGGATCTACTGACACAACCCCCCTGCAAGTACCAACTGTCAAAGACAAATTGCCTGGAATTTCAGCCATTCCCAGGTGCTGTTTGAACCCTCTTGGGAGCGGGGGCGGGGAGGAGGGTCACTACCAGGCCAGCCAGACCTTGAGAGCTTAGATGCTAAGTTCAACATCAGATATACAGGACACAGGAGCTGAGACCAAGGTACCAGCTCTTACGGATGGATAAACCGAGTCAATGGCAGAGTCCAGGAATCTTTCCACTGACAGCCATGCCTGTGGGGTGACAGGAGCTCTTAGCCTCCGTGTGCAGAGAGGAAAACACCCAGTCCCACAGCCACGGGGCAACAAGCAAGACTGGGGCCCATCCTTCCACCTCCTGCACTGTCCCTCTCTCTGGTCCCCTGCTCTGACAGACTGTTCAAGGCCATTCTAGAAATTTCTGGAGTAAGAATGTTTCTTCTCTTCTTGACTACAAAGAACTCCTGCCTGCTTGTCTTTCTTTGGACAGTGGTGATAGTGCAGGGGAACCCGAGATAAGTCTCTGTCCCTTGGACAGAGAGCAGCAGCAGAGGACCTGGGGGGAGGCCACCGCCTGCACAGGGACAAGACATCCTGGCAAGACTGCCCCAAGTCAGGGCCTCTGCCAGCCTTCCATGGGTGTTAGAGCTGACCTCAGGGATGCTGGTCTCAGGCTCCAAGACTGTGAGCAGCGAAGGAAGAGGGGGACCAGAGGCCCCTTCTACCCGGGGTGGCTGGTTCAGGAGGGCGAGGAGAGGACAAGTTCATGGAAATCCACACCCAGGAAGCTGGCGGAAGACCCGCTCTCCTACCCTCGACAGGACTCTGGGGGCACACCCCATAGTGGGGAGGTCTCAAGACAATGCTGCATCCCAGGATGGAGGGGAGGAGGGGGAGATGAGGCCAACCTGGGTGGGCTCTTGCCCACATCAAACCCAAGGGCCTGGGAGGTGTTCAGGCCTAGACATGGCCCAGGCTTGTGAACTAAAAACTGCGAGAATGAGCTGGCCAGCAGCAGAGCCACCATGGATGGAAACTCTGGAAGCCGAATTGGGCAGTGAAGGGTGTGCCCAGAGAGCAGAGCCTAGAGGGGAGGCAAGCTCCCCCAAGCAGAAGGCAGAGACCTGAGTGACAGAATCGTGGCTGAGTCACGTCTCCTGTGTCCAGTGGTGTCTTAATCCACTGCAACCGGGAAATGCAGACCCACCCACACTCTGCTCTCCCAAGGATGCCCACACATTGGGGTCCTCACCTAGAACCCCTTCTTTGTGAGTCTCTGCTCCTTGTGCCTGAGGCTTAACAGATGTGGAGCCGGTTCTCATTGTGTCCAGACCGTGGGCCCGATTAGCCCACGGAGGAGCAATTTGCCATATGGCTGTGGGACTGGGTGTTTTCCTGGGGAAAAGGTGTGCTGACTCACTCCCACCAGTAGCCCCAGGAGCTGGCCACAGTGGGCCAGTGGACGTGGAGGGGGTGGGGGTGGGGGTGGGAGTGGGGGTGGAGGGAGTAGAGTCTAAATCCCTAGAGATGCAGAAGGAGCAGGCTCTGGAGTTAGGCAGGACTAGGGGCAGATTTGGACTCTGTCACTGATTCACCTTGAGATCTTGGACCAGCCCTTGAAGCTCTTGCCACCCAGAAATAACACCGCCTGCCCGGAGAGCTGTGACAACCCTGGCGGGTAAGATGATGCCCCTGCCTTTGGGGATTTGTCTCCCTTCAGAGAAGCTAAAATCCTAAAGTCGGCTGACCCAACCGGGACAGAGACCAGCCTTCGCCCACAAGTCCGGGGGCTATTTCTTGTCCCCACCCTCAGCTGGGCGGAGACAAAGACAAGTAGCCCCAGGGGCCCAAAGCCATGCTCTGCACCAAAAGTTTAAGGGATACTCACCATCTCTCCTGGGTCCCAATTCCGGCCCGGACCCCGGCCGGGAGCCAGGACCAATGTCCCAGCAGCCCCCACCCAGAACAAACTGCACAGGACCTTTGGGTTTGGAAAGGTTTTTTTTCTTTTCCCACACATTTCCGGGGTTGGGGTGTTTTCCAAGACTCAGACACATTTGTTAACAAAGAGAGAAAAAAAACTGGGGGAGCAGGGAGCCCGTGGGCAGAGAAGTGACCCCAGCAGTCCGCAGGTAATGCCTCGCTCCCTCTCTTCCCCGCTGCCCGCACCCAACGGGTGCCCCCGGCTGCTGCTCACGG